CAAAAGGTGATTAGGCTGCTGAGTAAAATGTACAAGGAATTCACGGAAGACGGGACTTTTTGCATAAAAAACGTCATTTTTCGACCCCCATTTGACCCCCCGGGGCAAAATCAAAATTCCGAAACCTTACTGCACATCTACATGACACAATCAATCATCCCCCAAAAGGTGATTAAGCTACTATGTAAAATGTAAGAGGAGTTCAGGGAAGAAAAGTGTGACAGACGGACGGACGGACGGACGGACGGACGGACATGAGTAACAACAATATACCCGAACTTTCTTTAGAAAGTGCGGGTATAATTAAATATTAAATTTTGGAGTTATCCTTCCTTGAGGATCGTTTATCCTTAATCTAGATTCTTTTACACATACGTGCATTTATGATGGATTCATCTATCCTGAGAACTCATACAGGTTGGATTCAACTATACTGGGATTTCATACATGTTACTATACAAGGGCTGTTCAAGGTGCAGAAGCAAAATACGATTTTCAATGATTTAGTCTTCATGATTTTACTTATTAATATCTTTTAATTAAAACAAATGTTGGTAACATTTTTTATCCCATTTCTGATTGTTTTTAGAACTCATTTTAGGGTATGACCCTTAGTATACTGGAAAATGGCAGATCCAATGCTTTCCTGGACTTGTTTCTTCTTTCTGAAAGGTGTTTTTTCAAGTTTAGAAATAGCAAAAAGTCAAAAGGTCAAAGATCTGGCGAATATTGTTAATGTGAAAAAACATTAATTTTCTGTTAATCCCGAAAACCCCTTTTCTCTCGGGCCGTGCAGGTTTGGACGCTGTCATGAAGAAATTTAATGTAGTGGATTCCTAATAAACCTTTTGATTTTTTGCAAAAAAAAAATGCTTTCTAGTCTCCTACAGAAATTAAACTGTCTCCCCGAATACGAATTTGAACAACAATACTATTAATATTTAAGAAAATTGCATATAAATCTGTTTTATGCTCTTGCAAATCTTTGCTCTTGGCAGACCTTCGCTGTTTTTATCAAGTACATCTTATGGTAACATTTGTTTTGAGGGTTTAAGCAATAGATTCATGTTCCATTATCCGTATGAATATCAAACAAATGTGGATAACTACAAATACTGATATTTTAAAATAATTGTTAAGACATTCGTACACGCTGTCGTGTTCTCTCATTTTTTAATATATAGGGTGACCTTGGAGCACCAAGCTTTTTTACCGTCAAGCGTTTCTTAAAAACAGTGTAAACTACTCCCGATATGATGTCTATCAAGTTTCCTATCCGTCTTAAAGTCAATCCTACATCATGAAATATTATTTGTTGAAATTTGGCAAACAGTACATAAGTTGTTATAATTTTGGTTGGCAAGGACGGTACCCATTTTTGATGCCAATTATATAAATTTTTTATCATTGAAATTCACCTGCTCATTTGTCTATAAAACAGGCATTGGTTGCTGTTAATGTCACATATTTCAGTGAATATTTCTTTGGGATTTTACAGTTTTACAGCAGCTGTAATGATGCTTTCATTTTCACTCTAGTTTACTGATTCTTTACCACTCATTTATAACGCAGTGTCTCGAATAGCCCTTGTTCTCCTGCTTCTCGCGATGAAACTATATGATGAGCCTCGTACTGCGATCTCTTACACGTACGTTCATTTATGGGATCTCATATAGGTTGCATTTAACTATACTGGGATCTTATACACGTATATGCATATTTGTTTGATTCATCTATACTGAGATATCATGCACGTAGTGCTTTTGTGCTAAACACAATGTGAACTAAAAATGCGTATATGTACGTGCATTTATATTTTAGATTTATTCTAATTTAAGTCTTATTATTGTTTTCCTTTTCCTGAATTGATCTAAAGCGTGAGCAGACTAGTTTTAAAATACGATCTAAAAAGACAATCATACTGAGGGGAAAAAGACCGTAAAATATATCTTACAGTACATCTTAATATTTGTGTGTAAAAAGAATAGAAAATCTATATACTTTATACCATGTGCAGCCTACTTTGGTATTAGTGTAAATGCAATGTTACAGGAAAATCTGCTTTTTATTTTTAGGAACCATCTCAAGATACAATTGCTTTTACTATACATTAAAAAAAACTTATTTTTGGCCCTTCAAATCATATGTGATAAGACATACGATTTTGTATATCATATATGTAAGAAACACACATTCTACCTCCAGTTTCCAGAGAGGGAATCTCAAATGTCAAATTTACGAAAGAACTATAATGCGGTATATTGCATATCTTTGCCCTCACAAAAGTCAATTTTTTAAAAAATTCTTGAAATGTGCTGATTTCTTTAAATTGTATGAGAAAAATAAATTAATAGAACATATTACATGTATAGTTTTAAAGCAGTTTATTGACAATTTGTGTTTATATGACGTCACAAACTAGTCCGATTTTATTTCATTTTTTAGGAAGAGGACAAAATGGACAAAATTTCAACAATTTTAGGTTTAAAAGTTATAGAGAGCAAGTTTGCTTAGGAACAATATTTACACATTTCATTGATATTATCATTCTACATATCATCAAATATTGAGCCTGATCAGACCTGCATTCGGTGACTTTTACTCAAAATATTGATGTAATATAAACATTTTTCTGTAGAAATCAACGAAAATTTTAATTTACGTCATTTTCGTGACGTCACCTCAAACATATGACGTCATTGCTTAAGAAAATTTTCAGTGTTTTGAAGCCAGCATTTATTCCCCTGTTTAATAACAAAATTATATATTTATCCGTCGAAATTTGATTTGGGGGGGTAAATATTGGTTATTACCGAATAAAGTTATTCCCCTGTTTAATAACAAAATTATATATTTATCCGTCGAAATTTGATTTGGGGGGCAAATATTGGTTATTACCGAATAAAGTTCTTTTACTGTTTTGGAGCACGACAAAAGATGACACAGATATACATAGGATTTAGAAAAAAATAATAAATAAAGTCAGTATAAATGGTTTTAAAAAATCAGTCATTTTAATAATTGATTTTTTTCTCTTATTTATTTATTCTGATTTTCTAAAATTGATTATGTTAATTCAATTCCTTTGACATTGTAGGTTCACTTTAGTTCATTACATTGCAGGGAAACCCCAGTCGACTTCCTTGAATATGATTTTGAGTTCCAACCTACCATATAATTTTTTCCCGAAGTGCCTTGTTTAAAATACATAAAAGACCAATTACTCAGAGATCATTATCTCGTGGTACTGAGGTAATCTTTTATATCTGATTGTGTAAGTTTTTTTTTTAAGCAAAGCCTGTAAACTTATCTGTCACTTCGTAGATACTGTGGTTTTCAGAATACCAAACATAGTAATAAGTGAAATTTTTCTTAGAAAGGTGGTGTTCACGAAAAAAAAAACATTTTAAAAAATCAGACCCCTGGACTTCATCAGCTCTATCATTGGGCATCTCAACTATTTTTTTAAAATAATTGACAATGAGGGTCATCAATCATCAAAACACAAAGACATAGAAAGACATGACTTTTGTCTTTTTCAGAAGAAGTTAATCAGTATAGTTGATTCTGTAAAACTGATAATTTACAAGGTTCAAGATAAATATTAATAGATAGATTTATAAGTTTAATCAATCATTTTACTGTTTTCCAGTTATTATACTGGTGGTAATACGAACATTTCTGTATGAAACATACAGTTTACGTGTTCACTCCCTTCTTTGAATTATGATGATATGGAAAAACTCCGGTTATGTCCTTATCATGAGTTATGAATTTTAGATACTAACACAAAAGGTACGAGGAAATTTCGTAGGATTTCCCTGTAATTAAACAAGATACAGAAAACATTTTAATCTTCTCTGGAAATGGATTTAAATACAAAAACCTTAGCGTAAGTATGTTAAAGAAGACGTACGGTATTAATTATAGACATATTAGGCGTTTAAAGTTTAATCGAAAAGTATATACTTCAACATTATATCTAGGGAGGAAAAATCTTTCCCTCAACTTATTCTTAAATACCTTTGTTTTAATATCCTTTTTTGCATTGTTAGTGAATTAGCCATACAAGGTATATCAGAATCGGTGTTTGTGGGACTGTGTCATAAACTGGGGACTTCTCAACAGGTGGCCATGATGAGAGATGTGATGGACATCACTGAGATTTTGACATATCAAGTCAGTAGTGATTCATACTGTAGAATACTAAGTGGAAGCTACAGAGAGGGATTTAGAATGAAGGGATCGGATATAGACAGTATGTTCTGGCGAAATGATGAACGAGTCATTTGGGACATTTCTCAGACTCGGTATTACAACAGACAAAGATACACATTAATCCTCTGTGATTGTTCCGATAGTCCTCCAGGATTCTCTTTACTTCAGTGTTTGATTCAAGCAGGCAGCATAAGAACATCATCAAGCATTAGAATTTCAACGCGCTGGACTATCGTTTCAGCACTTGTCAGAAGGAATAGAAACATTTTTATATCTAGCTCTCTTTACAGAGAAATCGTCCGTTCACAACTAAAACCTAGCTCTACTCTACATGGACCCTGCGCCAGTGGAATTCATGGTGGATTAGAATATGATCTTGCCCATTGCTTTGCCTCTGACTTTTGGCCTCCACCTGCTGCATCTTGGATAGACAGATGTCACTCATGGCCCCAGCCTCGTGTTGTGCGCGAAATAATCAGAAGTGGATGTCACTTTGTAGCAACTGGACACAAACTGGGCAATTATGAAGACCATGAATGGAGAATTTCTTTCTCACGGGCAGAACAAATACTTGTGTACTCAATGAACCACACTCAATTCTTAACTTATGGATTGCTGAAATTGATTTTAAAAGAAGTCATAAACAATGGATTAGGAGAAGGGGATAAACTACTATGTTCTTACCACATGAAGACAGCGGTTTTCTGGGTGATTCAACGAAATACTGTACCTCATTGGTGTCCACAGAATCTCCTGTTGTGTTTTTGGGAGTGCTTCAAACTTATCCTTAAATGGGTCTATGAAGGGGCGTGTCCTAACTTTTTCATTCCACAAAACAATATGTTTCTGTGTAGTATCCATGGTGATAGGCAAAACCAATTGTTCATCAGGCTGCATGCTTTGTATGAGAAGGGCTTCATATCACTGCTACACAGTCCCTCCATCTGGCCCTATGTTTTAAAAGTTATTTATAACCCAAGACTTTCCATTCGTACAGATGAAGGCAACTTGTTATCCGAGTTTGAATTTGACTCTACATCATTTCATTGTATAATTTGTGAAAATGTACAAGGAATAGAAAACCTGTATCACTGTATGAAAGGCCTAAGAGCTGTGGAACAGTTGATAAATACATCCCTAAGGCCAAATCATGTTGTCACCTTACAGAAACACACGACCACCATCCTTCATGAAATTGCCTTCATATTAAATAACATGTACATCGAAACTTCTAGAAACAAAATGATGTATATTGCTGACAGAATGTCCCATCGCCTGCTAAAATTAACAGGCAAGTTCGGTTGTACTTCTGATATGGTGTATATGGCCATGTATTACTACAAGACAATGCGATTTGTGGACGCATTATTCGTTATTAAAATGACAAAAGTCCTACTTTCACATAAAACAAAAATATATACAGATATGTACAATGAAGCTTTTAGAGGGTTGTCCTTGACCTCAAAAATGAGGTTTTTTACAAATGCGACTGTCTACCTTAACAATGACATCTGTTACATCAATGAATTATTGCCTGAACAACTGTCCAGTAAACAAGAAGGACCGACTCATTTGGCGATCCCTGTACTGGTACTCTTATACATGCTGGAGATTTTGTGCTACCGTCATGTTGATACATCAAAAGTACAAACAATTCTATGTTATCTCCAGAATCTAGTATACCATCCTCAGAGGATGTTCACACGGGAATGTGAAGAAGACATATCATGGCAGATCCTAGGAATCTGTTACCAGGTCACAGGGAATCCACAGGCGGCTCTTTACGCGTATCAACAGTCATCACGTTCACGAGTATCATTAAATTTAATAAAACAGGCTTCACTGATGAGAATACAGAGTATCCTTCAGTGATGCTGAAGATGACATTTAGATGTAGATTTTGAATCGATGGAGTCCAAAGAAAAAAGGGTCACATATACAAATACAAATTGAAGGATTTGGAATCAGAAGTCAATATCAGTAGCTGGAGGGACACGATTCTAATCCAGTGATTAGTTTGAACTTTGTTACTTTGAGTTGAGTTACATGTTTATTTTTTTATACTCATTTAATCGTTTTGGCCACATGTAGATAAGATTTGTAATAATTCTATGTTAAAGTTTAGGCGGAATTTTTTTTGAAGTTATGTGAATTAAGTTATGTATTCATTGAAGTTTTTACACGTTTATCAATCAGAAATATTTACCCGGTGTTTGTTATGTCGGCTGTCAATTTGATTGGTTGCTATATTGATAAATTACCAGTTCTACAAGTCTACAATTCTAATAAAGCACACACGTTTTATTGTATGTAAAAATTAACGCCGTTTGACGATTCTTTCTCAGTGCAGGAAGATTTTTCCCAACCCATCCGTCCTCACAAATATACAGCAAAACTCGTTTAGTACGAACACGGATATAGCGAATTTACGGTTATAGCAAAGTTATTTTGGATCCTCAGCTATGCAAATTTAACGTATTTCTTATATGGATATAACGAATTACGGATATAGCGAAGTAAATTCCTAGGTCCCCGTGACTTCGTTATAACCGAGTTTTACTGTACTGACACGCAAAAGAAACGCAACAAGCAGTAATCTACAAATGTTTAATTTTTATCTTATGATTTTCAAAAAATGATTACAGTAAGGCTGAAATCGCTTTTCAGAACATCAGAGATTTGATAAAAATGTTTATCTTTTTATTTTACCAAGTAACACATGACTGTTAAAACACCCCCCTCCCAGCCATTCAAGTAAAAATTGCTAGACTGCCCTAAACAACAATTGCAGCTTAATTTCTACGATACAATAGGTTCGTTAATATCGAGATCTGAGCGAAGGAATTATTCTTTGCCCTTCTAAATGCCCATTTTCAGATGATTAGGTCGAATTTTCTCTAACTTAGAGCAGTGTAGCCACCCCTGGACTTCCGGTACAAGGACTGTCCTTAATGAATATGATATGTAAGACCCTTTTGATGTATATTGTTGTGAATTTTTGCATCATTTACTCTCCATCACCTTTACATTGAAATTTTTCAGCTAAAGAGCAATGGAAATGCGTATTTATGATTTAGCCATTTTCAAGAAGCCTTACCATCGTTACGGGAAACTAAAGGAAAGTTTATTTTTTGAAAGTTTGCTGCATTACTTATGATGAACAGTTAAAACCCTTAAAACTCCATAATATTGCCAAATGTTTTGTTAAACATGCAATTTTTGATTTTTGTTAAGCAGACTCAAACTTGACTTCCGGTTATGGTATGAAAATTGTTCAACCGTTAAATTACCGGTGTTTACCAAAGTGAAGATATCCATAATATAAGATACAAATTTTTTACTTTACATAATTATTTCCCCCTAAAGTAGGATGTTGCGTTTTTTTGCGTGTCAGTATATATATTTCTATTGATTTACACATCTTTGTAGATATAAGAGGTTCGAAGGAAAGAAAAGTAAAATTGTATATTTTGTTTTATTAAACTACACCTGCGAGAGCGCCTCTTTTGGTATCGATACACGTGTTATTTATTTTATAAATTATTTACGTTTGTGTAGTAGAAATTCTAGTACATGTACTATGAACTATGGAGATAAAGAACTGTATTTAAGATCAAAGCCCCTTCAAATAACACGAATTTGGAGAAGAGCAAATACAGACCTGTAAAAACATCAGAGGTGGGATCAGCTACAGGTGACATGGAGGAGTGAGCATCCCCTGTCGACTTGTAACACCCACTCTGCGCTCCTGTCGTGATCGAGGAAAATCCACCAAATAATGTCCTTACAGTTAATATGTAAAACGCCAGACAGCATTTGACCTAATGATAGGTTGTGTTTGATGTCAAAGTCTTTTTATTGCAGAATTACGGAGCGTAGCAAAGATGTGATTTTAATCAGATTGACTTAAGTCGCGACTTTCGATATTCTTGTTTCATTAACTTGTTTGTCAATAGCCTGCTTTGTTTTAGAATTTTTTCTATACGTAGAGCATACCCTTGCTTATCAAATCAACTGAGAGACCTAAACCCCAAATGTAGTTGATAAGGGGATATTGCAACATAGGTAAGGGAAGCTGATGATTGAAAAATTGAAGTCATCGGGTATTTCATAAAGCTTTGTCGTAAGGTAACCACTGATGTCTTTTTCTAATAGAATATTCAAAAATGAAAGAGATGTGTCAGACTATGTGGTATTTTTTTTAATTCAAGTTCAATAGGATACATCGAGTCGACATTTGAATGGAAGTAACTATGTTATATATAGAGGATATTCAATGTTTTGTAGTTGAATATGGAATTTTTTTCATATTCAACAACAAAACATTGAATTTTCTGTTTATTACATTTAAAAAAAAATCCTTGATTTTTCCTTTTCCCCTGTCTTTTTATAATACAGTCATAGGCTACATGACGTCATAGTTGAGCGGTTGAGAAGTCATAGATAAGTGAGGTAAAAACAATGTCAACACGGATTTAGCAACATATTTTTGGTAATTTTGATAGCTTTGAAGGGAAATCGAGAGTTTTCCCGCACTTCTGATATTCGTCACACTGTGACAGGATATTATTTTGATAGACTTTCACACTGAAAGACGGCATTCATTTGTCCGATAAAGGCACGGCTGAATTGTTAAAAAACATCGATCAGTATGTTCCTATTCTGAAACAAAAGGAAAGCAGTGTTCACGCTGATTCATTTGCAGCTAGGAAAAGTTTTTGTTTCTGTTGTTGAGAAGAGGGCCATTCTACTCGGAACTGTCGACACGGGAAAAAAGTATCGTGTTGGCAATGTGGGAAAATTGGGCATAAACAAAAGTTTTGTTCCTTCTAGGAAAATAGCAAAGAAAGAAATGCCGTAGAACAAAATCATAGAGATCCTGAACTTTATGTCTCAAATACAATTTTGACCCCTGTAAATAATATTTACTCTGTTTTAAATAGCTTATGTGATGAATGTAACAATATTGATTGCTCATGTGAACACCACTTTATATCCCTAAAATTTTCAAAAAGTATTCAAATGCTCAAAACAAAAATGTTTTAAATATTAGTGTCCATGACGGTATACAGAAAAGTAGCCAAACTAAGATTGTTACACAGATAAGTCCTCCAAATAATTTAAATCAGAAAGATAATGTACCAGAAAAGCTATGCACACAGAGTCATAATACTGGATTTGGACTGGTAAAAAAAGAGGTTTGCGTTTTGGAAATTTAAAAGTATGTCATATAATACCCAAAATTGACGAAATCAAATTGTTGCTTCAAGACAAACATTCTCTCGATATTTTAGGCCTCTGTGAAACATTTTTAAATGATAATTACTGTAACTCAGGTTTTAGATATCGATGGATTCACTTTCGAGAGAAAGGATAAACATTTTAAGTCAGGTGGGGGAATTGTTGTTTATATATCAAATGATATTACTTACAAGCGTAAAACTGAATTTGAAGTAAGTAATATTGAAACAATTTGGCTAGAAATCAATATTAAAAATTCTAAACCTATTTTTTATTGCTCTGTATAGCATCCACCATCTGCCCCCTCTTGCTGGGTAGAGGATTTCGCTAGGGAGATAAATATCGCCTCCTGCTGTGAGACAGTGAAATTATTATTACAGGTGACTTTAATATTGACTTACTCAAAGACCCCCCGCTATGCTGGACATCTGCTTTAGAGGAATTTGGACTAAAACAAGTAATTAATGTACCCACTAGAGTTACTAATACCTCCTGTACTCTTATTGATCACTTTTATACCACCATACCAGATAACATATGTGAAGTTAATGTACCACCAATATCCTTATCTGACCATTACCCTATTTGTGCAACCCGGAAATCTAATTGCATGCAGCGTAGAAACAAGCACATAGAAATTAAATACCGTGATTTCAAGAACTTTAACGAAGCAAATTTTCTGTCTGACCTAACAAATGAAAATTTTGATAGCCTTACAGAATTACACGATCCTAATGACATTCTTGATAAATTCTATATAATGTATATAATCCTTGACAAGCATGCTAAAATAAAATGTAAGAGAGTTAAGACTGAAACTAGGCCAAAGTGGCTAACTAAAGAAATAAATGAAGCTAGACAATTTCGAGACTTTTATCACCATAAAGGGGATTATGATTATTTCCGAATATGGAGAAATAAAGTTGTACTCCTGATTGACAATGCAAAAGCTTTGTATTACAAATCAGCCATTGAAGACAGTTCAAATCCAAGAGAGATGTGGGGATATTTAAATCAATTGGCGTCTAATACTAAAACTTTTACTCCTTCCCATATCATTCATAATGACTCAGAAACTAACAGTTCACAAGAAATTGCTAATATTTTTAATCAACACTTTACAGGAATCTCAAATAAACTTTTAAATAATTTACCAAAATGCAAATTCAATCCAGAATTATTAAGACAATTCACAAAATCTAAACTTGGTGATAACGTTTTTAGCCTTACACCAATCAGTGAAACAGAAGTATTTGATTCGTTGAACGGACTTGATGTCAATAAATCTGCAGGCATTGACTTCATAGGACCTCGTCTCCTAAAACTAGCAGCAAGTATCATTTAAAATAAATCAGTCACTCATTTAATCAATGCTAGTATCAGTAGTGGTAGTTTTCCATCAAAGTTGAAACAAGCAAAAGTCACCCCTGTATATAAAAAGGGCAACAAAGCAGACCCCAGCAACTACCGTCCCATTTCTATACTTCCGACACTATCCAAACTAATTGAAAAGCACATAGCTAACCAAATGCGAGATTTTACCTCCACTTTTGATCTTATAACAAAATCGCAATCTGGGTCAGAGAATTTCACTCTTGTCAAACAGCACTTACTAAATTAACAGATGCTTG